CAGACAGTTATTGCTTTTAATATCAGATTTATTTAAAAGAAGTTCCTTTGGGTAAATTTCAGCAGTATATTTAGAGAATTATTGATTATTTAACGAAAAGATGTCATCAAGATAACGGTAAGTGTTATTGATTTATCAATTAAATGGAATTAAGACGGTTCTTTACTGAGTTTGGCCATAAACTGTGATTCATAACAATATAGGAACAAGTCTGCTATGAAACGGGCACAATTTGTGCCCATAGGAATACCTACAACATGTCGATAAACTTTATTGCCGAAACGTACATAAATGTTGTCAAGGAGAAAATTTAGGGCTTGAATCATCTCATAACACCTCCAGTAAGTATATCTAGCATATTTACCTTTCTCATTTGAAAAAAAGGCTTTATATGAGTTGCAGCAAATAAATTTGCAACCAGTTTTATCAAACGACCATTTAATTAGATAGGAACACTTTTTTTGATAATATTGTGTGGAAGTGTAGTATAAAGAGTGGAAAAGTCAAAACTGTCAACCGAATCAAAAGGACCATCAAAAGCACGTAATTTATCTAAAACATCCAAAGAATTTTTTACACTCCAAAAATGGTTAATTCCACTATTTTCATAGGTTTTATTGCAAAAATTAATGATAAGTTCTTTGATAGTAGTTAATGAACTCGTTAAAAGCACCGAAAGATTAGTAGTAGAACACTTACTAAAGGCCGATATGAAACGATTTTTACGGGTTTTTTTGTGTAGTTTAGGTAGCAGTGGGGACCTTCAAATGTTTAGAGGAGGCCTTAAGCTGAGCTGTGGTAGTGACATGATTATTTACTATATAACTCTCTGTGGAGCGTACTGCCTTGAATGTAGTTGAATGTATAATTTCATTCTTAAGGACTTCCGTGTAGCATTTACGTCATACCACCACCACATTTTTGCCTGCTTTGTCGGTCGGTACGAACGCAAAACGCTTTGCGAGTACTTGAATTTTGTTTTTAATCCAAGAAATTGGCGTATTACTTACTCTTTTATTTATTTCTAAATTATTTCCGAAATGTGATATGCGAATATCAACAATAATCAGACATTTATTTAAATAGGAATCAAGTGACTTTTTGTCAGATTTCTCCCGTTTACACATTTTTTTACAATAGGATGAAAGAGCATCTTTAATAACCTGACGACACTCTTCTCAATTTATTTTCGACGGGGGTCGATATTTTGGTCCTTTTTCAGAAAGTTTATAACCTTCCGGTCTTGAACGATGCTGGGGTCCCCTGTAATTACATGGCCATAGGGATCATATCTAAACTTCGATGTTTCACAGTCTCATGTTAAAGGAGTATTATTTTCTATACTGACGTCTGATGTAACTGACGTATATTTAATAATTAAACTGCACTTATATGTGCATATAAAGACAGTTTTACAAAGAATCCAGTAATTTCTAATATATCTAAATACAGCAAGGTTATGGTAAAATGTTTTCCTAACAGAAAGTTATATTAAATTGAAACAACGAAGAAATGATCATCAACACCAATGCAAATATAGTTTAATATGACCGTTATATAGTCAACACTGTATGCCTACCTGCCCAGTCCTTGTAATGCCCGGAGGCACATAGGGCAAGGACTAGATCTTTCCACTCATCTCTGTTCTGTGCTTTCTTTTCTTTCTCGCCCCAGCTGATTCCGTGGTCTTTCATTTCAGCTTCAACTGTTCTTCAAGTTGTTTTGGGCGTCCTTTTCCCCTATGATGTCCGTCTTAGGGCAACTCTGGTCAAGTCCTTATCTGGTCTTCGCATAACATGACAAATCCATCTCCATCGTTTTTACTTTAGTAGAGTCTCCATGTTGTTGGATCCTGTTGTTTCATGGAGGTCTTTGTTGGTGATCTTATGTGGCTAGAATATCCTTAAGATCTTTCTGAGGCAACCGTTGTGAAAACTGGAAAGCTTGTTGATGTCCTTTTCGGTCATTCCCCAGCATTCTGCCCAATATAGCAGCCCGTTCTGCTAATACAACTGTTATATACTCTAATTTTGGTGTTTTTACTGATGTTGCTAGACTTCCAGATGTGACGTAGCTTTAAAAATAAAGTTCTTGCTTTTCCTATTCTGGCTCGGATGTCTTTGTCTGTTCCTCCTTCAGATGTTACTTTGCTGCCCAGGTATGTGAACGATGAAGTGCATTCCAGCTGTGTTCCATCTAAATCTACCACAAGAGACTCTGATATGTTAAGAGGCATAACTTATGATTTCTTGATGTTGATATTCAGTCCAATCATACTTGCATTCTTTTGTTACTTAGTGGTTTTAGCTTGCATGTGTGTTTCTAGATGTGACAGTACGGCCAGATCATCTGCATAGATAGTTAAAAGGGAGTCCACTTGATGCCTGTGATTTTACTGCTTATGGTAGATTGAATTACCCAATCGACAGCTATTATGAAAAGAAGGGATGACATAACACAACCAAGTCAACACTGTATAGCAAGCTTTAAATGGTCCAAAAACAAATAAGACAAACAAGCATAAAGGTAGGCTAAAAAAACCGTTAAAATAACTGAAGGTTAAACCGTCTCTGTCTGTGGCTTATATGTGCATATAATAGACCTAGGCGGAGATCAGAATATGAGGCTAGGAATATATGTCTGCCGAGTACAGACACATCGGGTGCACACAACTCCTAAATGCGTCCTTCAGCTCATAGATCATCTAATTATAAATTAACGTACACATGTATATAAAAAAGCACATGGAAAATCTTGCACCATATGTATATTGGATTTGTTACTGATAATTAAACAGTAAACATGCTTGAAAAAAACCCCAGTTACACGCTGAAAGAACGCTTCCATAGGAAAGCTTAAAGACCTGTATCTAATTCGGGTGTGTAGACTCATTACAAGGCGACAAGGGGTATTACCCATGGGGAGGCGGGAATCTCTACAAAAATTGATAAACGAGCCCAACAATATATTTTGGGGACTTTTTTTTTAATATTTTAAGGTTTCAAAATTTAGAGTATTTAATATTTTAATACTTATATATATTTTTTTGGGGGAGGTTGGTTGATCACAATCGTTTATTTTTAGGGATATTTTTTGTTCTTCTGACGAGCCAAGTTTAGCAAATTTTGTTGAGTTATCTCCTGCGTCCCGAAATTCCTTTGTCGCACAAAAATTCAAGTTAGACATAGATGTCGTCCCATACAGTATCTTTGTGTCTAAAGTACCACTCCCAAAAAAGTTTAGACTCGAAAGTATCTAATATCCGGTACGGAAAGACAGAGAAAAGGTCGGATTTCTGTTTATTTATTTGTTATTTGTATGAATTTGTAGAATATAGATACACACATTACTATTTTTGATTGTGAGATGTAATACTTGCCGGGGTACTTTCGACAAAGTGAGAATGGTGATACTTGACAGACAATCATTTAGGCGAAACGCTCTGTCAACATGGTCAAGGAGATTGTATTAGACGTGTTACGTAATGGTATATATATATACTAACCGCTGGGGTTGACAAACTAGACTATAGATGGGAGTATCTTATCAAAACACAGAAGTGATTTGAAGATTCAAATTACATGTGTTTCAATTGAACCTTGTGTTTTAACTACCTAGCATTGAAGTCAACGTATATCTGTTCCTTATACATGTAACAGACGTTTCTTTGGAAATATTACAATAGACAATTTTAAACTGAGTTTTACTGTGCGTATTGCTGTGTGTTTGTTTATTCTATATTGGCTAGAGGTATAGGGCGAGGGTTGAGATCTCACAAAACATGTTTAACCCCGCCGCATTTTTGCGCCTGTCCAAAGTCAGGAATCTCTGGCCTTTGTTAGTCTTGTATGTTTTTTAAATTTTGGTTCATTTATATATATGTTTCGGAGTTTAGTATGACGTCCATTTTCTCTGAACTAGTACACATTTTTGTTTAGGGTCAGCTGAAGTCCGCCTCCGGGTGCGGGATTTTCTCGCTGTGTTGAAAACCCATTGGTGGCCTTGGGCTGTTTTCTGCTCTTTGGTCGGGTTGTTGTCTCTATGACACATTCCCCGTTTCCATTCTCAATTTTAATTTCATTATAAATATTCATTAACGATCGAATATTCATTAACATATATTACGTGTAAAAAAAACTGGACCCAGAAAAAATAGAGACGGTAAGCCAAGAGATAAGAGGAGAGAGAGGGAGGGGGGGGGGGGGGGGGGGGGGGGGGGGTGGAGTGGAGGTTGAGAAAAACTAACTGTCCACCCTTATAAATTACAGCTATATATACTTTCAAATTGTATTTATAATTTTTGTGTTAGAGACGAAAATTGTAACTTAAAGGGGGTTTACTCGAGGTTAGATTCTTTTGAACGGGCTGCACCCAATGCAGAACTGTCTTATTGGAAAAAATTGGAATGAAAGTCGTGCTCTCGGGAGGGCGGTTGGCGGGTGGACGTAAAGACGGGCAGGGTAAGGTACCCATTTTGTGAAATCAACTTCTGCGACAGGTTTAATAATTTTTCTCTAGTTACATTCTTGAGTTGTCCATCGTTTGTATTTTTTATTCCTCTGGTTTTTCTTTGTCTCTTTGTCCATTATATAATAGGTATTATTTTTAAAATCAATAAAGGCGACCCTTTTAACTTAAATAGGGATTTACTCGAGGTTTAAGATCTTTTGGACGGGTTGCACACAATGCAGAACTGTCTTATCAAATAATATAAGACAAGTCGGACTTGCGGGAAGGTGGTTGACGAGTGGGCGTGCAGACAAACGGGGAAGGGTATCCATTTTGTGAAATAAGCTTCTGTAACAGGGTTTCAACCTATAGCATTGCAAAAAAAACAAATGTATGTAACTGAAAATAAATTGCGCAGCTTATTTTTACTTAATTTCAATAATCAAAATATCATATATTCTGTTCAAGCATTTACTGACAAAAATTTGTTTTCTTATTATCCTTAAGTAGCTTGTTTTACATTATAAAGTTTAATGAATCAAAAGAAGTAATAGTATTTCTAAGTTTTTAATTCTAAATATGTATTTACAATTGTGACATTACCAATATAGTTTTTTCCTAGTGAAATTATTTCTTTGATTTATACAATTTCACTTTAAACATGTTCAGTCTTTTTTATATACCGCATTCTCTGAAATTAAAAAATATACAATTTATGAAAATGGAAAAAAAAAACATATTTGACATTCCTTGGAGATACTAATTTTTAAACCAAAAAAGAAATCTTTCAATTTCTTATTTTCAGTACCACATAGTGCATCTTAAATTTGAAATTAAACATACATACGTATGCAGAATCTAGGGGGGGTTATAGGTATTCAAAGGAAAGTTATAATCTTCCGATGTGATTTTGATCACATAATCTCGTATTTGTTTTTTGCTGATATCAATTGGCCAATATTTGACATATTTACCTATTATTATGTCTGTTTGTTTTGCTCACACATTGTTGTCAATATTATGGAATTTTATGCGACTGTCATACAAGTGAGAGGTAAAGCTAGCTATAAAACCAGGTTTAATCCACCATTTTATACATAAGGAAATGCCTGTACCAAGTCAGGAATATGACAGTTGTTTTCCATTCGTTTGAAATAATTTGCAGTTTCGCCTCTCTTTTATAATCCATGCCAATTCTAAAGTTACGAACTTAAAACATATTGACTTATAAACCAGACTCATAATATACAGTAAAAATGGATACAATATACAAGTACTATCTTTAAAAAGAGATATCTGACGCATTTAGATGTGAGCATAAAGTTTAAATAAATCTTTATCAGTTTTTTTTTATCATAGTTAAAAAAAATGCAAAATTTGACGACAAAAGGCTGACAATTCTAAAAGTTGAGGATAAGCGCTTTTCTCTAAAGAATTAAATCATATACTACATGGTACTTAATTAAATGTATATATATAGGTATTTTTCAGAGATAAAACAAGTACCTATAACTGTGAAATATAGACATACACATAAGATATTAGTAGTTTACAATCTGTAATGAATAACAAGCTTGAAACAGTTTAGATCCATGAAGAAATGTCAGTTATATCTATATGTCAAGAACAACTTTAACAATTAGAGATACAACCTTTTTAGGTGTGTATATCGGGGACGGACGGACGCCAAAGGAAGATGATCTATATAATACAGTTTTTGACAAGTAATTACATTTGCGATATATGTATTTTGAAAATCTTTATTTCAAGTATAATATTTTGTACTCTTTGAGATTATTATTAGGCATTGGAAGCTTTAGTTGATAAGATATATTTTTAGCACTCGAGCTATAATAATTAATAGCACAATATTGACCTGGTAGATCTAATGAACCGGTCAGTGATATATTTACCCATTCATGTATTAAAGGCTAACTTCTTTACCTGAATTTATTTTTATTTATCTAGATAATTTCATTTTTAAGTTTATGTCCGTAATGTTCTCCTTTTATTGTAGCATATATCTTATTTTCTTTTTTTTTTTTTTAATTCCGTTATTTCGTCCAATCAGAATAAAGATTTGTGACATCATGCATCCCGTTACCATAGTGAAGCGTCCTTTTTAAATAGGTCACAAACCGAAATTATATTGACTGCGTCAGAAAAAGAGCTCCAATAATTTAAAGAAGTTGCAACATTTATCTTGTTAATTTAGTTGTGCGCGTGTGTTTACATGGCTAACAATCACAATTATAATCACATTTGATAAACTTCTCAGAGCAGATCCCTTTGTTACTGATTGTTATTTTTATACATGTAAATCAAACATTATCGATAGTCTAATATCAAATTGAGAAAAAAACACGCCTTTTAATGTTTTATTTATACGTAATGAACATAATTATATAAGATTTAAAGTTACCGGAGAAACTGTTCTCGCATTATTGCACTCTGGTGGTATATCAAACACTGATGGGTCTTTTATTCCTTCGGTGATTCCCATGAAGCCAACATCGGCAAAGCCGTTGGCCAATTGCTGATGTTCTCCAACAGGAACACATGATCCTTTATTGACACTCAATTCTATTTTGATACCATCTACCATAAATTCATAAACATCAATTTCGTACTTATTATCACCAGCTCCATAATAGGTAGACAGTACCAGTTTAGCATCATCTGAAATAAAAAAATAGTTTCCTTAATCTGCCTTTACGAGCTTTTTTACTGTATCTAAGTGTTTTTTTTAAAGAATTTTTGAAAATTCTAATTTACGTTTCAACACTTTATATGTGACAATAAACTTATTTCGCTCCTGTTTGCAATAACTTTCAGCTTATCTTAGCAGCCCAGGGCTGATATGCATAAAACTGCTTAAGTTAACATTTATTTCGAACGGACGGATTTTTCTACATGTCCTACGATAAATTAGTTCTATGTTTGGATATCTTAACTTAAGTGGTTTTATGCATATCAGCCCAGGTGTTTAATTTGCTCCTATATTGTCTTCTTCGATGAACAGAACAATTTGTTTATTGACAGTAAAATTTGTTTCTAAGCTAACTTTAGTTACTTAATATATATAAAATATATAAAATGATCATAAAGTGTAGCTAACGAACTGTTTGCATAAATCAAACCTGGACATTACTCACATGGTACACAGTTAAGTTTCCCTGGACTGGGATAAGGTGGTAAGGCTGCTGTCAAACATTTCCCATTGTAAGCAGTGTAACTATTGCCCTGCAATATATATAAGTGAAAGAATACGGAAGTGTTCAGTTCAGATTTTCTTTCAATATATAGAACTTATCATAATTCATGTTAAGAATGCAATTTAAAATTGGAGAGATTGCTTTGAAAGTAAACATAAAAAAAGATTAAAAAAACCCAACTCAAATCAAGAACAAAAAAAGATGTGTAGATGCAACTTAACATGTGTTAAAGGGTAGATTTTTTTTAATGTACGACAATATTTTAAAAACTTTTGTACGAATGTGTACTAACCACATGACGATTGTCCATAGTGTAGCAGGATCTACTTACCCTTTCGGATCAACCTCGATTTTTTGGTGGGGTTGGTGTTGCTCAGTCTTTGGTTTTCTATGTAACGTTATTTTGGACTTTTTGTCGTCTTTTGTTTTAAGCCATGGTGTTGTCAGTTTTTTCGAATTACGAGTTTTAAATGTCCCTATTCGTTGTGTAAGATAAAATGAGACTTACAGCTGAATAATCGTTGAGAAGATGTTGTTTAACTCGCTGACCGTTCCACATGCTATATCCTTTGATGGCTACTTTGTTTATATTGGCATCAACTGATATATTCAAAAGTCCCTAAAAGATTCAAAGTAGATTATTATTTGAATATTATTTATTATATTCCTTGACTGTTATATATTTACAATATGTTTTCCACCGACAACTTACAATATGTTTTCCATCGACAACTTACAATATGTTTTCCACCGACAACTTACAATATGTTTTCCACCGACAACTTACAATATGTTTTCCACCGACAACTTACAATATGTAAACCATATAAAGAAACACATGAAATGTTTTTTTACAAACCGATTTTACCCAAACATTCCAATTAAGTAGATAATTTATTGTTACAATTTTACTGTGGCTCGTTGTTGTTTACAGACAAAAGCAGAATTTATTCTCTAGAAAAAAGAAGATTCCAATCAAAGAAAGACAGAAACAAAAATGACCAAAAGAAAATGAAAAAAGATACAAAACAGTCCATACTTGATTGGATAACCATCATCTTCCCTTGAAAACCAAAAGTGAAGATCTTGGAGTTCCTGTTCCACTGAGGGCACGCGCATTAGTAATACATAACGGTTTTAATGTACATATTATTTATTCAAATTAATTATTAAAAAAAAAACTTTCAATTATAGTTCTCTTTTGAAACGAAAATCTAGTTTGATTCTTTTGTTTATTTATGTGATATTGAAATAAAGGTGGGTTCTTTTTCTATCAGCAGGTTTGCCAGCCCTTTAGAGATAAATATTTGTAAATATCTTTTTGATTAAAACATTGTCATTCAACACTTTCTATTAAAGCATGTAAATGTACATTAACTTTTTTATACAGTTACTTCTACGATTTCGTTTTCGAATATTTTCAGTTTCGTTGAAAATATAATTGCAAATTTACGTGCTTCATACATAAACAAAGTAAATGGCTCTATTTGCAAGGCGAAAGATATCAAGGGAACACTCAAAACTTGTAATCCGAGGAAAAGCTGACAACGTCATGATCGGAAATGAATTCAGTTCTCTAGAAGGGAAAGCAAATTCCCCATGTGACAGCCATCGTATTGCTCATGCAAGTACAAATCTGTTGACAAGTCTAATTCGTTAATCGCACAATCGAGGAAAAGAGGACGGGATTTGGTCCCTTCAATTGGAACACATGGTTATTTGTAACAGATATATTCCATAACGGTCAACTTAATCGTGATTGCGTCCGTGAAACTTTCGAAGGGATGACCTCAACTTTACCACTTTGAACCCTTGGTTCAATAGTTTCCTTGTAAGCATCAACACTCTATCAAGGAAATCGTAATAGGAAACACAAGCTCTATAATATGGTATCAACTGGGAGATATATACTCCATATGCAGGCGCTGCTGGAATGTTGCTACATAAAATTGGAAATTTCACAATTGAGAAGCTGACATCATCCGTTTGGTCATAAAATGTTACTGTCAATTTCTAGATGCAAGTCAAGATATGAGGCAGACTTATCTGTATCTGTGGTATCCTTAAAATGAAATATTTGAATGAATGTTGATATGTATACAACGTTAAAGCTTTGCAATTATACAATTTCTTTGACATGGTTTCTTGGCTTACACATAAGATTGAATAAATAACTTCGTATACATCAATTTGGAATAGTAGTATGAAGTATCACCTATTTAAGAAAAACTCGAAAAATTCTTCATGTTATCTCTTAACCTTAAAATGGAAGGATACCAAGGGCTCATTTAATTCATAAGTTGAAGATAGAAGAAGACAACACCCTTGCCAAAATAAAAACGACGAAAAAAGACAAACAAAATTCAACAAAATCACTACATTGAGCAATACGAAACCCATGCACTAGGAACCCAGGGCTCCAGAAAAATAAGCCGTTCCTGCTTCACTGGTAGCACTGGCCCGAGTAAGTACTGAAGTTGACATTGTTGATTTCTATTATTAATTAGGGACTATCGTAAAGAAAAGAACATTATGTTAGCACTAAGAAAACAACGAAGAAGATACAAAGGAGTAGTCAGTTTATATATGATAACTTTGACAGACATTGTATTTCTTTAAATTAGAAAATATAAAAATGAATGTACCTAGAACATTCTTCCCGAATGCAAACAAATTATAAAGTTCTACTTTCAAATTGATACAATAGAAGTAAGTTATTAGTAAAAGTTTACGTACTGTTTGCTTTGAGATACTGAAAATTTTATCCAAATTTGACAAAAAAAGGCTTTCGATATATTTGTTCAACTGTAGTACTAAGTATCATGTGATAAAAACTACGTAGATAAATGTAATTGAGTGATATCATTGTGAATAATGAACGAAACTGAGATAATTTAAAACATATGGGTATAGTACATGTGTTTACCTTTTTTTTTTTTATTTTATGTATAACTTTCTTACTGTTCACATTATTTATAAGGAACACATTGTATTTAAAAAATAAAAGAAGAAAATACATACTTTACCCTCTCCACCTGTTCCATTGGCCTGCACTCCTGCAAAGACACCCTCATATCCCTCCCACTGGGCAGGTCCACAGCACGAGGACGCTAACTGAACAAAAACTGCAAAAACAGCTATAGTGAACATTACTTGTTTAGCCATAGTGACTTTTGTAATACTTTTAAGTTGAACGTAAACCAGAGTATTTATAGTAGTTTCTTATCAAAGTGGATGATTGAGAGTCATATGCTTTCTTGACCTTCACTGTAGATTGCTTACAAAATTGTTCATTGTTATTTCAAAATATATTATTTGGTAATTTTGTTTGCAAATCGTCCTATTAATTAACAAGGTATACAATCAAGGCTTACATGAAGAAGTTTTTGTTATAGTTTCTGCCCTTGAAATTATATTTAATAATCAAATAATATTTTTATTTGATTTACGTTTATCTGAGTACCAGTAGAAAAGAAGGAGTAAACATAGGGTACCAAAATAACTTATCAATGCATCAAATAAAGCTTACACATTATAGCAAAATGAAAGTGGTCTCCAGTTTCAGAAAACCATATAACATACTTTAAACATTTGTGAGTTTAACAGTAAAATTTCAACCAAATAGGACCTGAAATAAGTTTTTGACAATTTGTTTTTTAAATTGTATCTTTTAATTATATACAATAAATGGCGGAATTTCAGAGTGGTGAACCACTTTTGACCACTTTTAATATACATATCTTGGACGAATAAAAAAAAAAGCTATTAAAAAACCGCATAAACCAAATACGCATAAAAAAATGAAATGAATTAATATCCTATTATAAAAACATAAATTTTCTTTCGGTAATAAAGTACATCCACATGTATAAATTACCATGGGAACCAATTTTACTCTTTAGTAGAGGACCTATACTGCATTGTTATAAATCACAATTAATAGTAAGTCTCACTATCCGCACATGATAAATCCAAAAGCAAGTTAACAGTGCATTTTTCTGTTCTTCATATCAGAGTCGAAGTCAGACTTTCAGCATGCAGCAAACACTCTCAACTAACTGAAAATTCAAGAAGGTCCCTAGGACTGGTTTCCCTAGGACTGGTTTCCCTAGCACTTGTTCGATCGAAATTTTTTGATTGATGTCGTTCAAAACTCTGAATACTACAGATTTATATCTTTATATTGCAGAAATCGATATTTTCTCTTCAGTATAATTCTAAGTCGATATACTTTCACCGAACGGTTGATTATTTTTGTTTGAATAAAAGATACCAAGGCGGGATTAAAAACCATCACTGGAATGAAAACAAACAGTATCATGATCAAAACGAAACAAGATGTAAAGACAAATTTATGAAAGAAATATATTATTATGGGACCAGGTATATTGAAGAGTTGTTAAGGAATTCGCTTTTCGTATAATTATATAAAAAAGACAATGTTGATTTAGATATACTTTTTTCAGACATCAGTAATTTGCCTCATTTCTCGACCATCAATAAGACATATATCATGTTAATCGAGGACTCAATATATTTCGTTTCGCCTTCTTGACCGTTGGTGGTTTAATTTATCTTTTATAATTGTACCCAATAACGGCACTGATGATTTGAAAAACATAATTATCCCGGGAGAATAGACTAGAAGAAAAACGACGCGACTGCGTGGAAGTTTCTATTTCATTTATTCACGCTCGGGCTAATTAGAGCTTAACACACGTATAGAGAGCTGTCTATTGTTGAAAGCTATATGTTGCTCTATAGATGTCGTGTGACAACGTGTGTCGTTAGGCCTAGCTGTTGTCTCAATGACGTTAAACCCACATTTCCTTCTTTTAATGATAAAGAAATACAAAACACCAGGAGCACCCGCACCATAATATTTTTCACAATGAAACTAGAAAACGGAATATTAATATTGAATTTTTTTGAAATTAATATCGTCTCCTTTTTTTTTAATTCTAAAGTAAAAAAAAGTTCTTTATAGTGCTTTCATATTCCATCTGTTAAAAAAAAACCCAAGGAATAAAAAGAGAAACGGGTTATATGCCAATAATGCACCAACACAAATAACTAAAAGGCAGGTTTGTTAAAAACTCTCCAATGAGATATCAAGTTCAGGTTTGAATAAAGTCTATTGGACAGGATTAAATCTGTATAGTCATATAAAGTATGGAATATATATTCTAAAAATGGTCAGGAAATATCTGGTTATGTTCTTGTAACATTTGAAATTATGTTTTAAGAGATTTAAATGTTCATAAAACATATTAATCCGCGAAAAATTATGTTACATACACAGGGGACCTATATATGTCGCCTACTTGTTTGTATGTTTGTTTGTTGTTGTTTAAAACCACTTTCAGTGACCTCGGCTTTATCATGGCGACCAGTTTTTAGTGGTGGAAGAAGCCGGAGTACACGGAAAGAACCATCGAACTTCGGTAAGTTGCTCACTTGCTCAGGAATAATGACTTATAATGGTATCATTGTTAAATCCTACTAGTTGATCACAATAGGAGTTTGGTCACAATATGAACTTTTTGCCGGGAAAAGTATTTTATGCGTGTTTAAAACACCCAAAATGTAGATACTGAGAAATTTCCTGGTATGTATCTTAAAGTGATTAAAACTTTATTTCAATTGACACCAGGGGCCGGTTTCACGAAGCTATCCTAAGACCTGTCATAAGATATATCTTAGGACATGTCTTATGATCCGTTTATGACTATCCTAGGACATATCTCAGACCTCGCCTCGAAGCGCTCTTAGGATGATCTTAGCTAAGATGTCCTAAACCTGTCGCATTCTTTAAATTTTTAAATATTAACACGGATTTATGGAAAAATTCATGTAAATGTAGTAGGTGTTTCCCATAAATTACTAAACGAATTCATAATATTCCATAATTAGATAATTTTTAAAATTAAAATAAAACATTAGAGTAGTTTATATGAATAATCTATCAATACTATATCAATACACATATAAAAATTCAAATACAAATTTGAGAGAAACAATACACTGATGATCATTTTTTTTTGTACAAGTGAGTTGAATTCAATTTGTCACTGTATCGGTTATAATAAGGTTAAAGGATAAAATCGTGCATTCTTGCTATAAATACACCGAATGTTCATTGTTCATAATCCGTCAACCTATAAAGATTTAGTTACGAACAGGAAAAGGAGATAAGATACTTAAATAATAATTAGATAATTTGCAAAATTAATAGAAAAAATAAGTGCAATTTATATAAATAAACTTATGACTATCCTAAGACCAGCATAAGACACCTCTCGTTTAGTCCTAACTTTACGACCAACTTTAAGATTGATTGATTTTTGATTTTTGGTGTTTTAACGCCACTTTTAAGCACCGCTTTTGGGCTATTTCGTGGCGGCCAGTTTTTATTGGTGGAGGAAGCCGGAGCGCCCGGAGAAAACCACCGACCTTCGATAGGAAAACTGACAATCCTAGTCAATTAAGATTGGAGTCGAGTGCACCTGCACGAGCGGGGTTCGAACTCACAACCTCAGTGTTGACTGGCTAGTGATTACAGTAGTAACTACTTAGACCACTCGGCCACCGAGGCCCCTCCAACTTTAAGAGATGTCCGAAGTTAAGACCACTTTGTGAAACCCACTTAGAACTAAGATATGTCGTGAGACCATCCTAAGACATGTCTTAGTCCTAAGACAGCTTTGTGAAACTGGCCCCAGGGAGATTAACTTTGATACATGATTAATCAAACTTAATAACATATCTAGGTTAACGGTTTTATTAGTAGATTTGCCCCCTTAAATTGATATTGTTCCAATTGTGAACTATTTATTTTGAGGTTATTCGGCCAAAATAGGCTGTTCATAAGAGATATATGTTTAAATAGAGCTTCATAGTAGTTTTCAAGGACAAAACCAGTAAACGTAACAGACATGAGACTTTTTAAAGCTAAGGATTGGATCATGAAAAAAGTGACCTTATCTGAAGACAAAAATTTTGACATGAAATTATTATATAACTTCGCTAAATATTTACAATAAGATAACAGGGAATTACCGTCATTATGTTCGAAGAATGACACGAAGTCACATGGAGAATTTTTATCTGAAGTATGTTCACAGAGAATTTTTAAATATGATAGCAGATATTCAACCCTTGGCTGATTAAGTACATGTATACTCGAGGTCAGAATACAGAATATTGAGAATTATTTAGATCAATAAAAGCTTCTCTTTTAAAAGTCAGGAACGTTAGTTACAAAAACAAAATGATGAATGTGTGCACATCACCAGATAAGAAAAAATAGCATTTGGGCATTTTAGGTGAACCTTAACTATACTAATCTTGAGAATATATTTTTTTTCTTTTTCATACTTTATATGCATAGTTATTGTTATTTATTGGTTAACTATGTAAAGACCATACACCAGTTCACAAATGGTCCTTTACTAGACAGTTAAACATATTAATGCATTTCATGATAGAACATTAGATGAACACTAAAACACCTTGTGTTTTTACAATAATTCATCCAAAGGAAACGAGAAACAATAAAAACTATGTTACTTCTCGAGAAAATAGTGCTTCAAATGACTATAAGAATAGAGATTATCAAATGAATAAACAATTAAAAGAATATGGAATATCAAATGTAATAAACTTCATTTGAACATGGTATATCAATTATTATAAGGAATTCATGAGAACAGGGAATAGCAAATGTTATAAAAATTATATAAGAACAGAGAATATCAAATGTAATTAAATGTTCTTTAGAACAGGAAATATCAAATGTAACAAAAATTTCATAGGAGCAGGGAATACAAAATGTAATAAAAACTTTACAGGAATAGGGAATAGCAAATGTTATTAGAACTTCATTCGAAAAGAGAATATCAAATGTTAAAAAAACGTCAGAAGAAAAAAGGATCATTAAATGTAAAAAAAAAATGTTATGTCCTGTCTGTGCTATTGTTAGATATTTTTCTGCTTTGTTTGGATCTGATGAGTTAAGCCCTTTTCATCTGATTTTAATAGTTTGGTCCTCGTGCTGTACTGTTACACCACTGTCCCAGGTAAGGGTGAGGATTGGGCGCCAGCAGCTAGTTTAACCACGCCACATTCTGTACGTGCCAGCTGTCCAAAGTCAGGAGCCAGTAATTCAGTGGTTGTCTTTTGTTGCTGTATATCATATTTGATTTTCGTTCATTGTTTTGTACATAAAACAGGCCGTTAGTTTTCACGTTTGAATTGTTTCACATTTATCATTTTGGGGCTTTTTAAAACTGACTATGCGGTATGGACTTTGCTCATTATTGAAGGCCGTACGGTGACCTATAGTTGGTAACTTCTATTTCATTTGTCTCTGGTAGGGAGTTGTCTCGTTTGCAATCATACCACATCTTCTTATTTCTAAATACACATGTATATCAAATGTAATTAAATGTTGTTTAAAACAGAGAATATCTTGTGTAACAAAACTTCATAAAAACAGGGAATATCAAATGTCATAAGCTTCATAAGAACAGGGAATATTGAATATAATGAAAACTTCATAAAAATAGGGAATAGCAAATGTTATAAGAAGTTCATTCGAAAAAGAGAATATCAAAGGTTATACAAACTTCTGAAGGACTACGAATATTAAATGTAATAAAATGTTCACAAGTGGCATTGGAAAATGACAGTATATTGGATAGGGACAGAAAGTTTGTCTTGCAACAGGCCACCTACGGACCCCTTAAAGCGTTGTTGCAAAGGTTCTTACCGTGCGAAGAGCGTGGCGCACTCTCTCTCTCTCTATATATAATACACGAGGTATAGGATTTAATGTTCCCTTTCTGACCGGACGTGGCTGAGTACTTGTTCATCCCGCACAGCCAAACGGACGGCCAACTTTGGCGAGGGTTTTACGGCCTACAAAATGCAGGACTTTGCAAGAAATAGTTATGTACAAAAATTGAATATAAATTTCGAGCTAAATAAATAAACCGTACTATAAACCGGTGTAAAATGAATACGCTATCAGCAAACAAAAACCCCCTTTGCACTGAAAATCAAATGGTCCATAAGGCTATTAAATTTTAATTTTGTTTTTAACTGGGCAATATTTTATTTTTTGTCATATAAATAGGTAAATAAGTTAATTCATAATATTATTCTAATCATTTTTATTCAATATAATTATGTAACTTCCTTAAATATTCATTATAAAATCCACGTACATAATATCTAGTTTAATGTCCACTTAACCCACACAGGGAACGTAATAGAGTTAAGTTTAAGCGTCGAGTACACTTACATCAAAACGAGTTTAGCTCAATGTGAACACGACCTGAGTCTAGGTACGCATAGCCGGTGAAATATGCATATCAAAAGAGACGCTTACATTTACCCTGTTGACACAAGTTGTCTCTATTTGTTTGGAGTTTATGGAATAGGATTTCCTTAAGTTTTTTTTTTATTCGTTTGTTTTATTGTACAGGACTATTGAAAGTAGTCTACAGTCACCTTTTCTTCACCTAAGAACCAATTAACTAAAGCTCTAATAGCGGGAGTCATTGTGAGTAGGGTCTATGTTTGACTTTGACACTTATCCAACTGGATTCAGATTATTAAATATCCAACTAACAATTATCCCTTTAGTGTTTATTATGTATGTCTCCGTTGTTAACATTACTTTATAAAACCAGACTCAAGCTAGCGACCAATTCTAGCGACCACTAAAGAACGCAATGAGAATCAACTTGTCAAAGAATCATAATGTGGTATATGGGAAAAACCACAAAACCACATTATGAAACAACGTTCTGTTAAAAAGAAAATCTAGCTACGAGTACGGTATATATTGTTTTTTTAACGTTTAAATGACCAGAGATGTCCAGCATTTGAAGTGAAAGGGGGACACTACAACACCAATGACTCGTCTGTAGCTGAATTCACCGACTAGCTTGCTTGCTAAATGCCGACATATTGGTATCAATCAGTAAGGAAATGTATAGTTTCTATAAAAAATAACGTGCCAGCAATTCGAAAAAGCCAAAACATCTAAATAAAGCCTGTGTCAGATGTATGATGATTGATGAAATTCTTTATGTGTCTATTACTAGGACAGTCTTTGTTAACGAACAATTTTTATTCCCCTTAATTCAAACACATATATATTATCATATATATATGTATTTATATAAATGAAAGTGCACCCCCTCCCTGGATTTTACACCATCGAGAAAGGGATATAGTAATTCTATCGCACATAGTACCTTTTTTATTTCGTTTATTTGAAAACTTATACATTGTACAAAGGAACAAGTTTAAGTCAACTCACATAAAGTATCGATTTTATGCTCCGCCTACGACACTAAAGCGAACAATATTATCTGGTCTGTGTGTTTGTTCGTTTGTCCGTTCGCCCGTTTCTTTGTCCGTCCGTCCATTCATACTGCATTAGATTGACATTATAGTGTGATCAACTTGAAACTAAGTATACATGTTCATTCTAATATAATCTTTCCAAATTGAATGCCAAAATTACCATTTTGACACAAATTTCACGGTTCACTGATTATGGAAAATGATTGTGCGAGCAAATCATCATAGACAAATATTCTTGTCTTTTTTTATTCAATTTGTTTACTTTTTATTCTCATTTCTGATCCGCCGTGAGTTATTATATAGCCATTTTGTGCTTGGGGGTAGACACTCCGTCTTCAATATTTTATTTGCAATAATTGATACCGGTTTACAATCTCGTTTTAGAGTTTGGGAAACACAGGAAACGTAAATAAGACGTCAAAATATGATTATTTTCCTAACTAGTTCCTTTCCCGATGGTGTAAAAACCGGGGAGGGGGTGCACTTTCATTTATATTAATACATATATATATATACGATAATATATAGTATTCGTTTGAATGAAGGGGAATAAAAATAGTTCGTTAACAAAGACTGTCCTAATAAAAGACACATACAGAATTTCATCAAACATCATACATCTGACACAGGCTTTATCAAGATGTTTTGACTTTTTTCGAATTGCTGGCACGTTATTTTTTATAGAAACTATACACTTCTTTACTGATTGATATCAATATGTCGGCATTTAGCAAGCAAGCTAGTCGGTGAATTCAGCTACAGACGAGTCATTGGTGTTGTAGTGTCCCCTTTGACTTCAAATGCTGGACATCTCTTGTCATTTAAACGTTAAAAAACAATATATACCGTACTGGTAGCTAGATTTTCTTTTTAACAGAACGTTGTTTCATAATGTGGTTTTGTGGTTTTCCTATATACCACATTATGATTCTTTGACAAGTTGATTCTCATTGCGTTCTTTAGATGTCGCTAGCTTGAGTCTGGTCTTAAAAAAATATAAAAAATATGCATTTTCTCAAAAATTTTCGTTTTTTTCCCATTTTTTTTCAATGTTAAAACAGTTCAATACTGATGTATTTTCCAAAAATCTATAATGCGAAGAATTCATAATTGTTTATAGAATTGAGTAATGTAAATTGAGGAAATTTATAATTGACTTTTATAATGCATAAAAGGAACACTTCAATACTAATGAATTGTAATTACAGCTTTACAATTTCCGTCTATTGTTGGAGAAAATAAAATGTAAATTAAACTAATTATAAGGAGACTAGTTCTATTCGAAAAATGCTCATTCCTACTTGCTTGTATCAGATTTATTTTTTCTTCCTCTTATCTTTAATGTCTAGAAAATTGCAGCAAAATGACACATTTGTTGCAATCGCTGTTGCAAATTTAAAATTACGACATTGCCTTTTCTCCTCCTACTTGTACAACATGTTTGTTTCCTGTCACTCTCGTTCCTACTTCTATTAAATATACACGTTTCCTTCCTTATTTCTAGTATACCTATATATTCAGATTTTTTTATTGATTCATTAGTAAAGACTGCATTCGAATAACATATTGAACATGGTTTTGTTCGTACTTTTTGTAGCTAGTTTACTGATTGTGACACAACATGTGTACTCCTCAGCACCATGCTGCATGCCAGATAAGTTTGAATCGCACGAGTATTTAGAAGCAAGTATCATCAACTTGGTCAAGTCAACTTATTTACAAACGGTAAAATATTGATAATGCATTCATGTTATTTTTATTCATTTGTGACTTTTTAATGTATTTTCTAATGTTTCTTAATAAAAGTCAAATTAACGAAATGATATCATAAATATAATAGAAAATAAGAATACACCAAAGCATAATTAACACGTATAGGTCAAAGTCGGACAGATACTACTATTGTCAAAAGGAAAAGAAATAGACAAACAAAAGTCCATAAACCGACATTCACAGATTCTCACAACAAAATGGTGACAATTAAAGTCGAGAGAAACTATATTTATCTGCTGTACTGAGGCGGAAGATACCAAAAGGACATCCATACTCCTTTTACGAGTCATAGAAAGGGATAAGAAAATGTTAAAGCTGACTTTATTCAATGATATCTAACTTCAGTTTGTATCTACTTTTTCAATAAATATCGGCTTGCCTATAATTGTTTAAATCCACTTCATTTGAACTTTGGTGGATAGTTGTCTCATTGGCAATCATACCACATCTCCTTATTATTATATTTAACTCCTTAAAATTGATTTAGCTCGTCTTTTACTTCGAAAGTTATGTTCATTATAAAATATAAAGCTTATAAAAAATAATGAGAAGGTACGATTGCCAATGAGACAACTATCTAATAGAGTCAAACATGACGTAGATGTAAACAGCTATAAAATACCACAACATGACAAATGTAAAATAATTCAAACGAGAAGACTTACGCCCGGATTTATGAAAAAATAAAAATAAAAATAAAGATGACAGACATTACCCATTGATACGGTAAGTAATCTTTATCAATACAAAATAAATTCGGGTATATCAACCAAAAATATGGATGAAAGTAATCAGAATCGTATGAACTATATATAAACGGATACAAGTTGCGTTGACAGGGTCCTGCTTTACATTAATCACCCACTAAGATAGCATATGTTTAACAATATGACAAAGCCTGTAGATAGAAAAAATGTGATCTTTTAATTTGTGTTTATCTTTTTAGGCAAATGTGAATATCTCGTTTGATTTTACGAGCAAAAAAACAGTGGCTGTTATATATAACATAAAGGCAGACGGAAAAAGTTTTCCGTCAATGTCTATACTTGTCGATTATGAGGCGGTAAGTGCAAAATAATATTAGATATGAGTGTACTCATCATAAAAATTATGAAATTAAACAAATCTGCTCTTTATTGAAAAAAAATCTATTTATATACTAGTATATATATTGGGAACTCATTTTGTCAAATAAGGAGATAATATATTGTTTTTTTAGCTTGGCATACGGAAACATATACTTGTAGGGTGTAATATCGCAAATCAAGTTAACATAGCAACGTAAACTTTCTTATATATTAGAACATATTATAACATTCATTATATTATATAACAAAATAACAGCTGCGATTGCAGGCAAGACACGGGGTTATTTGGACCTCTTGACGACATTTCTGTTTATCTTTCAGTTGATGAGGTTTTTTTACCATTTTATAGATTACAATCTAAATCAAAAACACGAACTACTGGTCTGGAATATACAAGAATATTTAGAAGAAAATTTGTAAGAACATACCTCTGGGCTAAGTGATTATAATTCATATATAATTCAAAATATTATATTGATAACCGATATATAATATACATGTATTATATTACTTTCAATCATACACAATCTATAATATACATGCATTATATTACTTTCAATCATACACAATCATTATTAACGAATGAATTCAATTATGCTTTCATTTAGGGAGTTGCCTACATTGTTCAAAACAATAAGTGTACCAAGAGTGCAGCTCCTAGGAAAATGCAACGTGCTTGTGTACCAGGTAAGAAAAGAAATGTACCTGTTATGTTTCTGACAGGGTGTTAATGGAGGATTCGATTTGTTTCCATTATAATTAAGACATGTTATTGAGAACAAAATAAATTCGTACAATGCTAAATATTATTCAGGTGTTCAGTTTGTAACATCACTTCCTGTGCATACATTTAAGGTGACATTTTAATATTAATAAAAGGAAATGTTGGATATAAGACAATGAGACAACAACTCAAAGATACAAATAACCCTATATCATCTAAAGAGGAGTCTAACAAATAAACAAGTGCCTATACAAAATATCGAATTTTAAATCGTCAAATTTATAAAGTCTGCATGAAAAACTACTATAAAATAGCAACGATCTGTCATAAAAAAGAAGACATGAAATTAGACAACCACTGGCGAAGTTATTGGGATTTAGAAAATTCAGCTCTCTATTCTAGGAGTCATCGACGGCTACCTATCTCTTCTCTGTCTAAACTTTGTTTTTTTTAATTGTTACATTCAAAGATCTCTTAAATATGCAGTTTATCTCTTACAGTTAAGGTGATCTAGTAGTATGCTATTGATAATAATGTGAACGATTTTGCATATCCTCTCCGTCTCTTGATCATGGTTTATGATCGTAATCGATTCATTAAGAGACTGTCATTTGAAAATTCGACGGGTGGCATTATCAGTGTAGGAACTGTCGAAAGATCGGCACTTGAAATAACAACCGGTTTTTAATGTGTTCATTCAGCTATCCTGTCTTGTTAATCCTGATATAGAACTCATATAAGATGAAAATTCCGAGAAGAAATCCAAAGCGTTATGCCGGCTTAAAAAAAGCGGAGGATACCACAGGGACAATCAAAATTTATAAGTCGAAGAGAACCGACAAAACTATGGAAAAAAACAAACAAACAAATACAAGTCTACGAAATACTGTATAGAAAAAAAACCCAAAAAAACTGAGCAACAAGACCCCCCCCCCCCAAAAAAAAAAAAAAAAAAATTAAATCCCGGCGTGACCTCAGTTGCTCCGGAAAAAATCAGCAGATTTACATGTGGTACCCATTGTGTTGATCATGCTAATTTTAAATTCGGTTGATATGGATACCCTTAACATAGGTATACCTTCTTAAATAGTTCCAATGATTGTATTATAGAAATTTTCAAGATCGCTGAAACTACACATTTTGGGGCTGGTTCAGAGATGTTACCTGTACATAAATATCAGTACAGCTATGGAAATACTACAAGCAGATTTACAGTTACAGCAAAGAACTGTTATTACATCAGCTACGAAGCTCACGATTGTAAGATTATATTTAAAATGTCCAGTTAACTAAGAAGAAAACCAAGGACAAATTAAAACCTAAACTATTCACAAGAATACAAATTTACAATTTGGCCACTTTTTCGAGTATGGACAAAGATGAGAAACGACAAAAGGTGCAGTGCCTTCAAAAGCAATTATAAAATGTTCTACCAATCCATGCAATAGACACAATGTAAACTGAAAAGTTTCAATAGAAAATTTTAATTGAAAGTTAATGTGAATATAGCTTTATACTATTTCACTAGTACATGTACTTAAAAGTCACATTGTCATTAAGGAGATTAAGTGTCCTCGTAAAACGTTACGCTTATAACAATTTAACTTTTTTTTTAATTGAGCCAACACATTTTTTTAATATGACCATACATTATCGGAATTTGTAGCAAGTATAGTTATCTATATATTGTTATTCAATTTATACAAAAGTCATTTTTTTCAATTGTATAGAACACATCTTTAGTCGAAAGTACACTTATTTGTATAACAAAACATATTATATTGACAATGAAATATATGACATACAATTAATGTTTAAAACAGCCCAAAGACCAGAAGAAAGGCCACGTGGTGAAGTATTTGGAATCACACTAGGAATTAAAGATCCATCAGTCTTTAGTGTTCCTGCTCTATGTAAGAAGACAGCTGATCCACAGGTAAAATTCGGAAAAGTCATATATTGAACCAGAAAAAGCTTTGACAAATAGGTATTAAAGATCAGGCATTATTTTCATTATATATATAAAGAATCCCTCCGATGAGAGAAAATGTTATCTTGATGTAACTTAAGATCATAGATAACCTAACGGTAAGTATGTGTTAAAGAAAGAAAGATACGAATGTATCTCAAGCAACGGGTTTAGATCAGACATGTTCAACAGTGTTTCGACATTGTTTATAAATATTTAAATCTACCAAATGATTGAGTTATTTCTATCATTACAATTACAATAATTAAATACAAAACTTGCAATCCTCTTCTCAAACAGAAAAGATGCCTGTTAACTACAACACTACACGGTCGTTACGACAAAACGTGGGGTAATATATTTTGTCAGCTGGGTCAAGCCTGTTCCCGACATTCGTATAGAAAAATTATTTATCAAGCTTACAATTTGGTATGCAATACACACGCTTTGTTTCCATTATTCTCGTCAGTGGTGTTCGAATCAGACATGGCATAATGACAGTCATTGCCATGATTATCATACATTAAACTATAAATTTTTTTGTAATTAAAAAAATAATGTACTACTATTGTAAAGAAACTGTTAATCTTATGAACTTTTCTATTTCTTGACTTTCTAATTCTGTTTCTATTTTCTAAACTGGATGTTTTGTTAGAAATCTAACTCAATTCAAAATTAACTTACAATGATCTTCTGAGTTATTTCCCAATATGTACTATTTTACTTATTGGCTATTCAATTATTCGACCATATTTGAATATGTATGTGCCTTCAAATGCGATTTATCGTTCTTTACCACAATCAAATAGTGGACCATAAGGGACTGCTAAACCTTTCGGGATTCATCCTATTTTTTTATTTAAAAATCATTACAACGCTAAATATATACAAACATACGATTTAAAAAAAACAACGTCTAAGTAAGTTTGTAATCGGAAACAATAATTCACTTGCGCCGCGCAATAATCAATATTTTCACAACAAACAAGTAACTTTTAAGTTTAAATCAGATATTTCAACAACTTAAAAATAAACCAAAAAATAGATAAGAATTATCAAATCATGCAATATGCACTTTGATGATTCAAATGAAACAAGATAATTGACTAACCAATGATTTGTTTTATTAGTTGCTATTGGCTTTGAACTAGCTGTCACTCACTGCGAGTACTCTCAGATCTGTACTTAATGTTTTTTTTTTTGTGGAAATGTATAAATACCCTGCCACGTCCGGTATGTGTTTTTTTGATTGTTGTAATTCTGTGGTTGTCGTTTGTTGCTGTATATTATATTTGTTTTTTGTGCATTGTTTTGTACATAAATCAGGCCGTCAGTTTTCTTGTTTGAATTATTTACATTTGTCATTTCGGGGCCTTTTACTGCTGACTATGGGGTATGTTTTTTTTTCAATCTTTTTACCAAATATATATGGTGTGTCATTTCTGCATATCACTGTTATATTTATATCTTCTTGTTTATTAACTTTTCACTATTTCTCTTTTCAGGATGTACCAGAATACCAGGCAGGCAAATTCCATCCGTTTGTTTGACGAGAAAGAAAAAAATTCGTCGACTAACATGTTTATGTCTCTCAGTTTCTTAACATTTAAAAGTAACAATTCTCCAAAAATAATTTGTGAAGATGAAATCCATCAGATGATGCCTTGGAAACATAAAATATTAGTATACGCACATGTAATTTTATTTTAAAAAAATCTTACCTTTTATTCTTATTTAGAAGGGAAGAAATGGACATTTTTGTGAAACTTTCATGGGAGGAAAATTCTACGGCTTTTTAATTTGAATATACAATGCTATGGTCATCTGTTTACTAGTATATACAATGTATATACGATATCCCTCCAATTTCATAACTAATTGTTAAAGGTATCATAATCTACTTATTAGGACTGATGATTTTATTTTTGTAATTGTTTTTATAATAGGTGAAACTTTAATAAAATATTGTCTTATTTTGTCTTGTTTTGGTAAACATAAATAATTTGATTTATATTGTAAGCTTTGTGTCACTTACCTTGGCAATTGTATCTAAAACTATTACTGTTTTATGGTACTTCGGACCGGACGTAATATCTGTACAACACGATGTTTACTCTCAGGGTAAATCAGCCGGAACGAGGCTCCGCTTCTCCTGGTTGCCGGGATCCTCCGCCAGTGGAACACCACCGACCTGACCCAGAGGTACTACACTCCCCCCAACTTTATACGAGAAGTGAATCAGGGGGTCAGGAGGGTTATACCGCAGTGGTGATTTGTATTTTCTGTAAAAGGGTTTGTGATGTTGGAATGAAGGGGGTTAAACGAGAACAAGGGGACCCTTCAGATTTTCAAAACAAGTGGAACCCCACAGAGACATAAAACAATTGGAACCCCCTACATACATACCCCACTGGACAAGACTGCTTTACCCCTATATACAGAACTATAATATTAAGAATTTATGGTATAGCCAACGGGCTTATTAAATTAATTCATTGAATATTAAACAAATTGGCTGTAGAGAATGATAATCTTACATCTTTTATCATAGAGCTTGAGCAAAATATAAACGATCAAGAGAGAACTATAAATTTGCTAAAATCTGCAAAACCTAGTAATGATCATACAGTAACGCAATACTTTATGAAGAATTCTAACAACATTAATGGACTTCCTTACTCTGGATATAAGGACCACATAGACAATATAGAAAAGAAGCTTGCTATTTTTATGGACTATCAAGACATGTTAGCTTTTTTCAAATCTGAACTCTAGAATCGATAATCTTCAGAACTCTATGATGAACAACGCCCAGATTCCATTGCAAACAAATCATAATTCGTACACTCCACTCTTTGCCAACACAAACTCATTTTCAGCATGTACCTGTACATCCTCAAGCATACTTTCAACAGATAAACAGCTTTATTGATCATATCAGACATGTTCCGAGTATGCGTATGCAACTACGTCCTCAACATATTCCTGTATATCCAATTTATCAACAAGGACTTAACCTTGCTCCTCCTGGACACAACTCTATTACTCCTGTTCATCTCTTATAGAATTCTGATGAATCATCAAACATGACTCAATCTACAAATCAAGGACATATTGATTCATCTCCATCTTTTCACCAAAGGAGATCTCATCCAATGACCAATCCAACCACCCAGCATTATTCTAATCGTAATCCTAGTAATGCCCAGGCTACATACAACAATAGTAGAGGTCCATCACAAACACACAGAACATATCCACCTTCCTACCGTGAATCAGTTTCAAGAATATACGGTCAAAACAAAAGAGAGGACTTTTTATGTTCATCAGCAAAATTACTGATTAGCAAACCTGGTATCAACAATCATAGTGCAGTTGAAATTGTAGTATTACCATCTAGCGAAACCATTGCCATCAATGTTTAGATCCTTTCCTTGACAAAGGAATGACAGAACCGTACATACGGGAGATGTAATCGTGCAATCCAGGGATTTGGTTGACCATTTAAACTTGTGACTTTTAACATAGAAGTCCTACGTGGGAACGCTCCTTACCTGGAGAAAATTTTACCTTTTAATGATTTTATCTGCATACAAGATCACTAGTTGTGGCAGTATGAACAACATAATTTCTTAAAAACTTTAGATATTCTATAAGATCGAGTGACTGTAACGTTCCAAAAGTATACTCTGTTCGTTCACGTGGTAATGATGGAGTTCTCATCGGCTGGAATACCAAATTTGATAGCTATGTGAAGACCCTTGATGATGGCAATGAACGTGTTATTGTAGTAGAATTAACTGCTCTCCGCAACCGATATGTCTGATAAATTGTTACCTTTCTACATCTGGATACTCTGATACTGCCGTTAAGTATCAAGCAAATCTTGACTTGCTCGAAATTATTATTCAGAAGTATTGTGATTCACACCAAATTATACTCTTCGGCGATATGAATGCAACAATGTTACTCTCTCGACGTAATGATTCAGATAGACGTTTTAGATCATTTATAGACAAATACAAACTAGTCACTTATGCTAACACAGGAGCTACACCAACCCATCAGCATAGAATTGTATCATACCAGATTGACTACATTTTCAGTCATGCAGAAAACAATTTTCTGGAACTTGAGATATGTCAGCAACACCCTATAAATACTTCTAGTCATGTCCCAGTCGTATGTAAAATAAAAACTACTTTAAGCCTGACCCTTACAAAAACTGATAAACCACCGGAAAGAAGGTAAAATATGTGGAAAGATTGTGATATAAAGTTATATCAGAGCACTCTATCTAATACTCAGATACCCATCATTGAAAGATCTGACCAAACAAAGCTATACCATCTAGGAAAATTCAATTAGATTGTGACCGAAATGGAAGACTAGTCCGGCACTACGACATGTACAATTACTTGCCCAAGGCAATTTAATCCACAAAAAATGGATTCAATATGGCAGACCAACTGAGAATCATCCAATATGGCAGACCAACTGATAATCATCCAATAATCAATGAACGCAGATTTATCAAAAGACGCACCAGATCACAACAGTAACAGGGCATGGCATGTGAGCGGGAACAATTTTATAGTCAAATTCTTGAATCTGGAAAATCTACAAAATTTTTTATAAACTTATGTCATATATTATAGAATGTGATTAAAAACGATCAGCTGATTTTTACAGGGTTATCTCCCTGTAGTGTTATGTACCACATTAAAATATATAATGTGTAAGGAGCACCACAGTATTATTTATACTACTATCAATAATAAAAACCATAAAATTCAAGGATAAACAAAATATTGAAATGATCAATGCAAAAATGTGAAAAATTCAATAACAGGTTAACGCACTTCACATGATTGGTCAGTCATCTGTATGGTCAGATGTTTTATCCAGGAAAAATAAATAAAATACTGCAATTGTATCAAATGACTTCATATTAATTGTCATATCACTTTTTAATGAAGGGCTTGAACAGGAAAATCGTTTTCAACAAGGAAAATGACTTTCATGTTTTTTCTTTCAATTAGTCTATTTTTTTAAAGTTTTGATATCATTTTCTTTTGAGCGCTGACAATTATCCGTGGTCATTTAATATTAACTAGTTCCCGGATTCTTCAATTGTTTTTTTTTTATTCTTGTGATCATAGTGTTTGTTTTACATCTTATGATTAATCACATGCTTTAAATGATATATATATATATATATATATATTTATATATATAAATCCAAATCTTTATTTTTATTCTATGACTGATATTTACATTGATACCATACATTTGTCTGAAGAGTAAAAATGTTCCTGCTAGTTGCTGGTTTACTTGTGGCATCAACATACATGCATACAGTTGAAGCATGTTGTTGCATGCCAGAGAAATTTGAACTGCACGAATATGTGGAAGATATCTTTACTTGGCCATCAGCAAGCATACAAACGGTATTGTAATATTATCAATATATAAATACATTTTAATTTTTTATTTGCAAGACGATTTAAAAAATATATGAAATTAAAGCTAAATACAACCGTGCAATAAAACATATTTAGCCTGGTCCAAGGACGCAGTTATCGTCCTTTGGTTTTCGTTGTCTACGAATATATTCCCTAGTGTGAACAGTGTATAACTTGCATTTTTTTTTTATACACTTTCCCAATTTATTTCTTGATATTTTATGCATGAAATATTAAGTAAGGGGATGAAATTACATGTTAAAAAAATTTGGGTGCTGAATCTTTATGTTAAGTAGTGATTTGGTCCAGTTAAAAAAGGTCAAAAATTAGAATGTCTGAAGCTGTCAAACTGAAATTTAGCCCCCCTTAACACAGAATTGTCAATATTTTGAGTTAGAGCTGGTAGAAGTTTCTATAATTTTGATATTATTTGTATCAATAGTAGTACACTACACTGTAAAAATCTTTTTGAGATAGAGCAGGTGCGATTTTTTTAATTTGAATTTATTGTCTAAAAGAAATGCACTACGAAATAACTGTGTTCTCGGGCCTAAGAGATGAATTCCGTAAATGTCGATTTTGTACTTTGGCAACTGTACTGAATGGTTTGCTGGTTTCAATTTGTCAAACTCAATAAAAGTAAAGGATTTACATCTTTGTTTGACAGAAGTTCTGTTAAAATGTCCAATTTTGGCATTATAAGGCTAAAATAAGCATTTTAAAGCAGTTTCCATTTTATGCCTAAGAGCCATGCTGACTTTCTATCTGACAGCTTTTTATGTTCCTGATATTTGTGTTTCTATGCTTAAATCAAATTTAATTAACCATTTGTGAACTCTGAATCTAGAGAAAAGTAGATTATCACAGGAAAAATGTGCAGAATATTTGTATTTATGTCCCTGGTTAAACGGCCTGTTTGATGTATGTGAAATGTGAAGAGCTTTGTACATACAGTCTGTAGTCCATCACAAATATTTCACTAAGTCTGTAAAAAAAAAATCAACAATGATCAGTACACCCTATTCATTTCATATGCTACCATAATTTTCTTCTTTAGGATAGTAAGTGGTTCAAATATATGCCAATTGAGACTAAAACTACATGCAAGTTTTCCATTGAAAAGTAAAAAAACTGGTCATCAGACCATACTGTCTGCAAAAAAAAGTTGAATTCAAGAGTCCTTTTGCAATTAGACTTCTTGTATCATGAAATTTTAGCATAGAAATGAGCAAAAAGTAACAAATTTCTATTTCTTATAGCCTCTGTGTGCATTTTTATATGTAAATATGGGCTACGGCCTAAATTGACTCTAAATAATTCTCAGTCTCACTTGGCCTAAGACCATACTATTCTCATGTGGTATGCTTTTTGTAACTTTTCTTTACATTTAAAGTACATTTAATATATATGAAAGAATAATGTATGGTTAAAAAACTTCAAAAACTTCAAATTGGTTGAAAAAAATGCATGTTTATGTAAGGTTTCCCTTAATTCGAAAATCTCTATTTTCAGGCACAGGCTCATATAAATTTGACTTTTTAATAGCTGTAACAAATCTGATAAATCAAATGAGTGTTCCGTTGCTTTTAATACTTATTATATTATATTCAAGAGTATTTGAAGAGCACATTTTTGCAATATTTAAATTTTTTAGGCCAAAATCTTGACAGTTGAAAATATTTGATTTAAACGTCAAAAATAAACATCCAAATTTCAATATTAAAATGGCCCTAGTTTCTATAATATATATCTTATGGCCATGAAACTTGGCCAACTATCTTATAATTTCCAAAGCTTAGGTCATGCAAAGTTTTATTAAAATTGGTCTAGTCTTTCTATCCTATTAGGTCCAAGGACACAGTTATCGTCCTTTGGTTTTCGTTGTCTACGAATATAGTCCCTAGTGTGAACAGTGTATAACTTGCATTTTTTTTTTATACACTTTCCCAATTTATTTTTTGATATTTTATGCATGAAATATTAAGTAAGGGGATGAAATTACGTGTTAAAAAAATTTGAGTGCTGAATCTTTATGTTAAGTAGTGATTTGGTCCAGTTAAAAAAGGTCAAAAATTAGAATGTCTGAAGCTGTCAAACTGAATTTTAGCACCCCTTAACACAGAATTGTCAATATTTTGAGTTAGAGCTGGTAGAAGTTTCTATAATTTTGATATTATTTGTATCAATAGTAGTACACTACACTGTAAAAATCTTTTTGAGATAGAGCAGGTGCGATTTTTTTAATTTGAATTTATTGTCTAAAAGAAATGCACTACGAAATAACTGTGTTCTCGGGCCGCCTGAAGACAACAAACCTAGTTTTTTAAAATTACAATAATATGATTTCCGTAAAATAGATATCTTTGGAGTTAACATTTTCATACTCATGTAGTCATGTCATGTTACTTGTATTTACAAGTAAGATGCTGAGTTTCATTTCTCAAACACGTATAAATTAAGAAAAGTTACACGTGATAAATGTATTGCATCCAAAGCGCTTTTCTGAATAAAAGTTCACCAGGAACACTGAAAACCATAGAATTAAACCCAACGATGTATAAATAAATTAGCTTTATATATACATATATATGTGTGTGTGTCATGGATGGATAACCATATCCTTTGTTTTTCTATTATATGATCAAAATTGGCCTTTAAAAGAATAGTCAAAACCATTATAGACCAACGTCTCCTGAGGGCATGAAAACTATGTAAGGTTTGATTAGCCTGAAGGAATTATGACTGTGGAAATCAATGTAAGGTTAACTTTCCCTGTGGGAGTTAAAACAATCTAAGATGAATTGCCCGAGGGAGCTTAACATTAGTTTTCTTCTTAAAAATAATTACAAAACACATATTTTTTTTCTTTAACTTTTGATATATTTTGAAGAAATAATGTAACGGGTGACAGAAGTGAAAACTATTACAAACAGCATATACATTTCTTTTTCAGGGCTATGCAAATATATCTTTCGACTTGGAAGTGAAAAAATCTGTATTTTTCTTCTATGACGTGAAACTAAATGGAAAAGACGTACCCACACCAACATATCTATTTGATCATTCTTCGGTAAGTACAACAAATATCGTGTATACTAGTATTTAACTGTATTAAATACAGGGCATGTTCTTAACATGACATTATGTTGATGACACTTCAATTGTAGTAAAGTATACCAAAAAATGATAGAGATAAAATAGAAGAAATATAGTGTTCACCTCATTATGTGCAAATGATTTGAATTTTTATCAATACTGTTTGCTTTATGCATTACAACTTGAATCTATTGAAATCCGTTCGAGGACTCACTCATTACGGTATATTACAAAGTATTGGTTTTGGCTACATGCTAGCTAGACGAGGATGTATAATGCTTTACATTGTGAGTACGCTTCCGCTGTACCAAATAATAGTTCTAATGATTGATTGACCGATGATTAGTCTATGCTTCAACTCACTAGAGACATATTGTGATGGTCTTAGATCTTAAGACACAATTATTGTCGTGCGGAGAATGTATGCACAGCAGAAGACGCGTTCCCTTTCTACGAACCTGATATTTCGAATTACTATGATTCTATCTCTTTTTTTTTTAAATATTTCAAAAGGATTTTCGGATTCAAAACATATATTGCCTCGATCTTGTTTAATGAGTATTCGCACTGTCAAAGTTTTAATGTCAATGTAATCTTTCTTTCTTGTGAAATTGTGCTGATGTTTTGTTCAATTAATCGAGATACACTCAGATATTCTCCTCGTTTTTTTTTTTTAGTTTTCCACTCCTTCCATACAAGTAATTCCAAACTAATGTGTAGTAGAAACATATTTCCCAGTTCTTAATAATTATAATTATACAATTTATTTTAAGAAACTGTAACTGTCAGCGTCCTATACTATATAATGTTTGTATGTTTTAGGGATTTTTGTACGTATATGATATCCGGTCTAAATATTGTAAAAAGATACCTATTGGGAGAATGAACCCTGTATGCGTACCAGGTAATTAGCATTTAAAAGATTTAGTTCGTACCGAATAAAACAAAAGCGTAAAATCTATATAAGTATCAGAAAATGATCTTAGAAATACCGACTTACATTGGTCAAGAAAAATAGTGCGACAGTATACATACTCTTATTATTTGTCAACTCTGTGGAGCTATAAATACAGTACCATAGAATGAACTCGTAAAATAAACTATTAGAATATCTGAATTGTACTAAGGCCTTTTTCACATTTATAAACATATACTTTTATTACAATGATGTATTTTAAAATTCTTTATAAAAACATGCTACCTTTTAAATCAGTTTATAAAAAGGTTCATTAACTTAAAGACACTATATCTACTTTGTTGATAATCTAAAAACTCTAAAGACAAAAAATAAGCATCTTTGAAATTTTTATTCCAAATTCAGATATATATTGATGATGTTTTGTCACTCAATAACCCATATTTTTAATGAGTGCTTTTATCTCATTTGTTATGTAAATAAGATGTTAAGTTAATGTAGAATTGTGCATTTTGTAATTTTTAAATATTGATCTCAGCATTTTTGTTAAGTACTAAGTATTTAAAGGGTAATTATTATCGTCTTAAACATCAAAATTGGATAAAAAATGGTATCAAATTGCTTAAGCGCAACAATGAATTTGAAAACATTTTGACCTTCATCTTTAAACTTCTGATGTTTTCTTTCTTGCAGCATATAAGTCTACATACACCACACACCTCGGCGCAGCGAAAGATATGCTATCTGTTAAGACATATCAGTCCACATCTGGAAATCAAACAACTAGTACGATAGTAACGAAAGAGAAATGTTATCTCATCAGCTCCGAACTCAATGGTAAGATTACTCTTTTTTTTAAATGATGCTTGTAAATGTGTGATACCAAATTTAATGCACAACTCAATAGTTTCGTAAACAATCAAATACCATTTCTTGTGAAATATATGTATTTCTTTTAATAAATACATGAAGAAAAATAGAATAAAAAATGCGCATATGATCCTTTAATTGGTCTTTTGAACTTTTTTTATTCGAGCGTCATTGATGAGTCTTTTATAGACTAAAAGCACGTCTGACAAATATAATTTATTTTCAAGTCTGGTTTCTATGATTAGTTTATTTAAATCAACGTCTATATTTTAAACGTTGTCTGAAATAAACAAAAATAATGTTTTCGTCATTTACAAGTCTGATATTAATACAAATGTATACACGTTGCTTGAATATACAAAAACAAATCCAAGAAAGTTTTCTAGTTTTAATGATTAGGCAATTTCTCTATCAATATAACATGTATTCTAATACACCTTTAACTACAGTAATTACTTTATTACAGACTCGGAGTATCCAACAAGCTTGAGAACACATTTTTACGGTACGACATTAGGGATAAAGGATCCGTCGGTCTTCAAAATCCCCGCTATTTGTAAGAAGATCTTTTGGAATACACAGGTAATTTTTTGCTGAAGAGACTAAAAATAGTACTTGATAAATTTGCTGAAAAAATATTGAATACGGGATTAGCTATATGACCAAAATTGACATAAAAAACTTAAAAAAAGACAAATGCTGAAAAAATTGGAGGCTATAGAACGAACAAACTGTCATGTTTAAATATTACACACACCGCTGGTGGGTACACCACCAAGAGTACTTTGGCTCTAGATTGACCCAATCATTCGGATGTCATAATATTTACAGCTTATACATGACATGCCATGGGTCAGCTAAATTCTACTTGCTCTAAACAATTAACCACATTGAATGTACAAACATACGTGATTGACTGATAGTGATAATATCACAAAAAAAAAAAAAAAAATGAACCTGAAAACGTTATTGTTAGAGAGAAAAAAATAAAAACGAAAAAGAGTCTGAATTTTCAGTAAAAGACGTATATCGGCTTAACTGTCTAGCATTTACCAATTGTTTTCGCAGTCACCTGGCAACTCATCTTTTTAAATGGAGTTCTGCCGCATTCATTTTATTTTGCCTTTTAACTTTTTTTCGATTCCAGCGTCACAGATGAGTCTTTTGTAAACGAAACGCACGTCTGCCGTACACAATTATAAGCCTGGTATCTTTGATGAGTTGTTTTTACAAAAGAATCTCAAAAAATATAACTTTGATTCTATCGATCATGATGCATCTGTGTCAGGTCCCTCCTTCAAGGCATAGCTTTTGTTCTTATTTTTTTCTGTTAAATATGCTATGCACAGATGTAGTTCGTCTGTCTGATCAGTTTTGATTCTCCTATATATATCCTTTTCATTTCAACATCTAAGAGTTTTGGTTAGCTTTTAGCATAGTTCACAAGAATTATCCGTGAATTTAGGTTAATGCTTTATTTAATGAGTCAAAGTTATAAGGAAAACTTTAGTATATAGTTAATTTGTAATTATGTAATATCACTTCAAATTTATTTCAATATTCTAATTGCAGGAAATACCACAGGTTCACGGTCGTGGATTTCGTCCATTCTACTTATAGAAAAAAACGAAACGTTTAGAGACGGTACAGATTGGGTGTCAAAAAATGATAAAGAAAATTGTTAAAATTCATCTTTCAATTATAAAGTGTAGTAGCATTGTGCATCTATTTTACTATATGATTTTATATTTTCTCTGCCGAGTTTCCAATGAATTAAATATTTCTATCTTTGTCCCTATCAAATTTGTTTCAATCAAATTGCATAAAATTTCATACCATTTTCAACGTCGTCTTGTTAGCAATATTTTAAACGTTCACAGCGAATGACTAAATACAGGTACATGTATGCATCACAGAAATGCCTTTTTAAATTATTTTGAAACCAAACGTTAACGCATAGGATAGAACAAGTATTTTATGAAAGGCATCTGCGCTTTGATCTTTTAAATCATTTCAATAGATTTTCAAAACATATTTTATTAATTTATTTATTGCCTCCTTGTTACTTTGATTTATATTAATACTGTGTTTCTGCTTGCTTTAAATGTTGTGTCTAACTGACTAAGTATGTTATAATAAACGCATTTTTAAACAAACCTTATGTTATTCCCTGTTCGATTAAAAGCCATTAAAAGAAATGATGTATATAATTTCTTAATCTACAGAAATAATATGTTGTTACCACTGAAAGAAATACAGGAGGCAGAACAAAACCACAAAACCTTGAAGGGAGAGCAGTAAATAAAATACCTGATACATACATTTGTAGATGAAATTATATTGAAAACTGGGATATGTATAATACTCATTACTTTACACCATAGAAATAAAAATATATATCTTATGCAAATTATTGATAACTTAAAATATTTAAGACATTAACAAAAGTTACGGTTTACTAAATGCATTCATAGTTTGGGGGTATAACATCCTTTAGTGGTGATGTTGTGTATATATCTCGTCAATTACCTAAATGCATGTACACTTAATTGCCTCTTTAATCAACTTATTCTTTATAATAAAACAATCCTAGCTATAAAGTTTAATACATAATTAAACATTTATTGCTTTCCGGTTATTAACACTTATTATGGTTCACATCCTGCTGATACATGTAATTTTGCATTACACATTGTCATGCTTTCTCAGATGACTATGAAAACAAGTTGAAATTGGGCTTTGACGTAGCTGTCATCACTGCGAGTTCTCTGAGATCGGTATTTTGTGTCATATGTTATGATAACTGCCAATCTAATGAATGAACCACTATTAATTGAATTTCACTTCCGGTAGCATGGAGATTGCATGAAGTGGTGTTTTTTCTACTCTCCGCCTTTTTATTGAAAAACTAGTTATTAAGTCTATATGAGTTATGAGTTATGAGTAGGTCATAACATAGAAATAATAGATGATCCAGAAACAACTCTGTATGTTTTAAGGACATATATCTGATAAAGAAGACTTTAATTGCTACAAATTTTTTTTTAAAAAGAGCATAAGAGTACCCGAAATCAATTCCCCGTGTAAACAGAAGACAGAGTCAGAATCGAGAGTAGATGGTCAATTTTGCGTATTATACTGATACGGCTGATAACCATAGACACCAGGGAGCACAAAAGGTATGAGACATTGAAGAAACTGTATGAATCAAAATCTGTGTCCGAATGCTTTGCAAGTTTGCACCTTAAATTAGTGGGGGATGTAAAATTCTAAAAAAACAGAGATCAAGGTACTAAGGGACAATGTAGAAAACCTTGATTCTCATGCTAAACTCATGGATGATAGTATAGAAGACATGCACAACACACTAAACCCTGATATTGAGAAAAAAATCACAGCAGAAGAAAAGGAACGTTTGAAGCTGGAGTACTGGGGCCAAAAATGGGGACTTGGTGATAAGTGGTGTGGGCGGAACCCCCTTGGCCGAGATGGCGAAAGTGACTGATTTACTTGTCAGGATTTTCTTTGAAAAAACTTTAGAGATACCTATTAAAGGAGCGCATCGAAAAAATGCTGTTCCAGGCCGTGCATACTAGGAAAAGAGGGAGAGCAAGATCATTGTGCGCTTCAACAGTCTAATAGATCGAGACGAAGTTCTGGCCGCTGGGATGCAATTAAAACGTGGAAGTGGTTATAGTGTCGTGCCAGATGTGCCGCCGTCTGTTGAACACTACGCTTGAAGTTCAATCTTTTAAATGAAAGACGTGCAGTGCCTTCATCCGAACAGAGGAAAGTCCATCTAGTTTACATTAAAGAGTATCCGTTCGTGTTGCTGAAAAAGAAGGGATCATCATGGACTTTTTAGCAGACCTTCATGTATAACTAACTTTACTGAATTAACTTGACAAAAAATGTATCAAACAAAACTCATTAGAAATTTATAGTAACATTATTGTTGTATGATATAATTACACTATTTTTTTTTGCCTTGGGTTTTTAAAACTGTCTCTGAATTGCTTTCTATTTTGTATGTCCTCGTTTCTCCAAACATGTCTAATTTGCATATTAGATAGCTCAGGTAAGCATGCGCAAATTTCACCGGATGTTTTGACTTAAGCTGTTCAGATAAAAACACGGATAACAATTTTAAATCACTTTAAGCTAAAGAAACACAGAATATGTGTCTTTTGAGAGTATTTAGGTAAAAGGTTTTCCAAATATGCACCCTTTCTGAACTCGTCTAGATGTCAATAGTTTTTATAAGTTTTGAACGCGGTCACTGGCGGTCTTGAAGCACACATGTCATGAGATAGTTCCTTATTACTTTTCCTTTTTTTGTGGCTTAAGAGCTCCACATGTAAGTAACATGTCACTATCGGTCTTCAGTAACTTTATTATCCTGAAATTGTATAACCATGAATCGGGAGAAATTTGGTGGTTTTTGTTTGAACGGTAGGAAAATAGAATTTTTATGTCACTTTCATTTCTCTCTGCTTAATTATTTGTACTTTATTTGTTTATATTGCTCTGAATAGGTTTATTGACTGTGTAATTTTAGTACATATATCTTACTCAACTGTAAGTGATATGGAATATGGGTAGTTTGAAAATTGGATGCATAAATTGTAGAGGCCTGTCTTCTGATAAAATAAAACTAGAGGCTCTAAAGAGCCTGTGTCGCTCACCTTGGTCTATATGCATATTCAACAAAGGACACTCTCCAACATTGTAGACGAGAATAGAATAAATGACAAAAATCTTAGTTTTTTTTTTTATCTTATATTGCTGATCTATATCTTATTTAGCTTTTGCTCCAAACACAAAAGAGAGGGTATAAATAAAATTCATAATTTAAGAGCAATAACTCCTATAAAGAGTAACAGTCTACTAATTATATCGGCAAAATTTGACTTGTTAGTAGGTCTTGTCTTGCTTTTCATTTTTGATTATTTAAGTTTCTATCTATCTATTATAATTTTTATCATGTAGGGCAAAACGCAAAAAAATGGTAAAAATCGTCCAATAAGGAGTCGTCGGAAATTTCCGCCATTTGTCTTAATTGTAGATCTTATCTTTTGTTTATTTAAGTTTCTTTCTATCTATTATAAGTTTTAAGTTTTAAGATATAAGACAAAAACGCAAAAAAAAAATTGTACAAATCGTCATCAAAGGACAATAACTCTAATAAGGAGTCAAATGACGATTTCAACCATAAGACTTATTTGAAGAACTTGTCCTTCTGATCATAGTTTTCAAGATAATAGGCAAAAATGAAAAAAAAGTGGTAAAATTTGTCATTTAAGGGCAATAACTCCTACAGGAAATCGTCTGACAGTTTTGACGTATATAGACAATTGGTAGAGCTCAACTTTTTGAACAATTTTACACTTTTCAGATTTCCTCTATTTATAACTGTTATCAGAATAATAGACAAAACTTGCATTTTATGTTCTATTTTTAGCAACGTCGTCCATCTTTACTGGCAGGCGGGGTCGTCGGACACATTTTTCAAACTAAATACCCTAATGATGATTGTGGCCAAGTTTGATTCTATTTGGGCGAGTAGTTTCAGAGGAGAAGATTTTTGTAAAAGAGTACAAAAATTTACGAAACACTGTTAAAAGTTGACTATAAAGGGCAATAACTCCTCAAGGGGTCAATTAACTTATTTGTAAATCTTACTTTGCTGAACATTATTGCTGTTTACAGTTTATCTCTATCTATAATAATATTCAAGATAATAACCAAAAACTGCGAAATTTTCTTAAAATTACCAATTCAGAGGCAGCAACCCAACAACGGGTTGTCTGATTTGTCTGAAAATTTCAGGGCAGATATATCTTGCCCTGATGAACAATTTTACCCTATGTCAGATTTGCTCTTATTGCAGTCATTTCTATAAAATTTTAAGTGAATTTGTACATCAGACTGGTATCTGCATACATACAACTATTGCAAAAATGGCTTTGTTTTAACACGTCTAGTTCATATATTAGCTAAATTATGTCAGATATATGGTAAGAGATGATACTGTTGTGACAAAAAATCTAAACTGACCATTTGAAGCAGAAATTGTGAACTTTCATTGACAAATAGGCATACAGTAAGATGTGGACTGGAGACAGAGGTAGGATTGGATACTTTATATAATCTTGAATGTTGGAATGATTGACTGCTAAACATTACATTTACAGTATTCTGAAATGCTTTCAATTTGTTATCAGAACAGTTTTAAACAGGTTCTAGGCATTTCATGTCAGAAAACATGCAAATAGGGTAAGCTGGCAATAATTAAAGTCTTGTTTTCAAATTCTTTAAAAAACTGAAACAGGGGAGGGGTATAAAATGTACAGTAAAAGAAAACTTAGAGTATATGCAGTGATTTCTTTAAGGCTATAATTCTGATAAATAAGTATTAATGTGAAAAAAAGTGTTTTTATAGAGTTTTCTATTTGAATAAATGTCTGTATAGGTTGGACTTTGTAAATTCAGCTGTTTCTCAAACCACGCCTCCTTTGGGGAGATATAGAATATTCATAGCTAATTAATTTTGTTTACATACTGGTTCCCAGTTATGATCTCTATGTTTCATCTCATAGAGACATAACTTGGGAATGTTACCAGTAAATGTTACCAGTACATATGCATATTGTTTA